TCCCGAGATGAAGAAGACATAAAAGCAGTGATTTTTCATATTTATGTAGGCTAGAAAATAATATGTTTTGTAATATTTTAATCCTTTATATTTATATTCTATATCTATTCTTATTATATCCTATATATATCCTTAATATTAAAATTTTTTCATATGTAAAGATATTTGCCTATTGCTCTCTTGTGCGTATTAAGCAGTGCGTAAGCGAGGCGCAACTCTGCGCCGGAGTTTATACTGGGTTTGTTTTGGTCTAATGAAAAATCTATTATAGATTCTCAAAATAGCAACGCGCCAGCAGTGCGCCTCAGAACGCCTTCCTTTTTAGACCAGAACGCCTATGGGCGCACAAATGAGCGCAAATGCATTTGCTATTTAAACAGCGCAACGCCTCGAAACGACTCTTGCGCCAGGCTGAAACCAGCAAAAGACTATTGCGCCACATTGCGCCGGGTGTATGATAGGGCCCTATATGTTTCCACCAGTATTTGTAAAAAAAAAAAATCAGTAATTTCTTGAACGCAGAGCTCATGAAAAATGTCCAAATGTCCTCACAGATGCCGTTTAAATTCACTTTTGTATAAAACTCTGACAGTGAAAGCAGCAAGAGCGAAAGATTTTATATCTGAGAGAGTTTCTTTGTTTATGAGGGAGAATGAGAATAATTCTACTGTATATCTGTGAGAGGATCTGTGTGTGTCTCTCTCGCTGTGCATTTGTGTATCTGTGTGTGTCTGTCTGTTTGTCGTTCTCTGTGTGTACAGTATATGTTTCTCTCTCTCTTTCTCTCCCTCTCTGTGTGTGTGTGTGTGTGTGTGTGTGTGTGTGTGTGTGTGTGTGTGTGTGTGTGTCTGAGAGGGAGAGAGCAGGTCCTCTGTGTTTGCCAGCGGGGCTCAGGTGACACACTGGAGGGCTGTTAGGGCCCATTGGCATCTCGGGGGACGCTGATGCCCTGTTGGTTCAGTGTGTGTGTGTGTGAGACAGTGGACAGCGAGCAGACGGTGATCTGTGTTCTGCCATTCCTCCTTCTCTCCTCTTTAGGTGAGTGTTTTGGGTGTTTTTTTTTTTTTTTTCTGGTTCACGCTTTTCCTTACACTCTGATTCACACACACATTATGTAAAGCAGAAATTGTTAATGCAAGTCTTTTTACTTGAAGCTTTATAAATTTTTATGAAGGATTTAGTTTTTATAAGCGTTATTTCAGTCTCAAATTGTTTTAGGATTTTTGGTAACACTTTAGTTCACCAGTCACGTTATTAACTACTGGCTTATTACCTGCCTATTTTTAAGATAGTAACTGTTCATTGGGTGTTATAAAGTATAATCCTATTTTGCATCCCTTATGATACTCAAAACCTAAACCCAACTTCTACCTTACTAACTAACAATAAACAAGCTTATTAGTAGTTTATTAAGCTAGTAGTGTTACTCAATGGCATGTTAATACCATGAGTTGTGACCTAAACTAAAGTTTTACTGGATTTGTATTATTTTTAATGGTAACACTTTACAATAAGGTTGTATTAATTTATATTATTTAATGGATTTATTAACATGATCAAACTGTTAACATTACATTTATTACAGTTTTTGTTCATGTTATTTAATAAAAATACATTTGTTCATTGTTAGTTCATTAGTTAACCCATGGTTCATTTAAACAGCAATTTGGATGTTTATAACACATTAGTAAATGATGAACTGTTTAATAAAATAATTATTATTTTTTTTATGTTGAATCAATTTGTTTTAATTGTAAATAAATACTCGGATTATTTATGGTATCTATGTATGTATGTATGTATGTATGTATGTGTGTTTGTATAAAATTTGTTCTGTATTTTTATGAAATATTAACACAGTTGAAGTTCAAAGAATTGATTTCACTAAGTGCTTTTAAAAAGACTATAAAAGATTTAGAAGTTTGTAGATGGTTTGAATAGTTTGTCATTGTGATTCATGTTAACTGATAATTGTTTTTTGTTTGTTGTCTGTTAGACCCATGTGACATGTATACTGTCTAATCTTGGCCAGGGCGCTCTTGTAAAAGACATTTTTAATCTCAATGTGTCTTTTCTGGTAAAATAAAGGTTATAATAATGATAATAATAATAATAATAATAATAATAATAATAATAATAATAATAATAATAAGGTTTTAATAAATAACTTATAAATATAAATAATAATAACAACAATCTTTAGCATTTTTAAATAACTTTATTATTTATTTATTAATTTTAATATATATATATATATATACAGTTGAAGTCAGAATTACCAGCCCCCTTTTGATTTTCTTTCTTTTTTAAATATTTCCCAAATTATGTTTAACAGAACAAGGACATTTTCACAGTATGTCTGATAATATGTTTTCTTCTGGAGAAAGTCTTATTTGTTTTATTTTGGTTAGAATAAAAAGCAGTTTAAAATTTTTTTTAAAACCATTTTAAGGTCAAAATTATTAGCTTTAATTATTTCGATAGCCTACAGAACAAACCATCATTATACATTAACTTGCCTAATTACCCTAACCTGCTTAGAGAACCTAATTAACCTAGTTAAGGCTTTAAATGTCATTTTAAGCTGTATTTAAGTGTCTTGAAAAATATCTAGTCAAATATTATTTACTGTCATCATGACAAAGATAAAATAAATCAGTTATTAGAAATGAGTTATTAAAACTATTATGATTAAAAATGTGTTGAGAAAATCTTCTCTCCGTTAAACAGAAATTGGGGAAATATATATATATTTATTTATTTGTTTATATATATGTGTATGTATGTATGTATGTATGTATGTATGTATGTATGAGTGTTATATATATTTATATAAACAACATTTAATAGACTAAATCTACCAGAGTGTCTGAAGCATTAAACATCCAGTAACTTTTCCATAGCAGCATTAAGAGGGTTTTTGTAGTAAATGTCTCTGGAGGATTGAGCTGGCGCTGTTGTGTCGTTACTAATGAAGTCTTTGATCGTTAATGATATTTGCTGTGCAGTGAACGACTGATCTGAATGTGTGCTCATGATGATCTGTGTACTGTGCGCTGATTGAGGATAATTGAGTTTGCAGTGACTGAACCGCTCTCTGTGGAAATTAATGTGAAGTTTACTGTCTTGTTACACATACATTACATTACATATACAGGCATGTCTATAGGAGTCAGAAATGAACCATAAATTCTGTTTTATAAATTTACAAAACAACACATTTTTATAATATATATATATATTTAAGTATTTAATTATTTTATTATACAAGTGTCATTTTTATTTTTATATTTGGCAACCGCTGTTTAAAAAATTTCAAAACTCCACTTTTTTTTATAAGTTGAAAGATATAGATAGAATAATAAAAAAAGTATAGAATTATTATTTTACATGTCATTTTTATTGGAAACATTTTTTTAAGGTGAAATATATATATAATAATAAAAAACGATATAATTATTTTAATATATATTAAGTATAATTTTTATGTTTCAAAACAACACATTTTTATAAGTTAAAAGATATAGATGAAATAATTTATATAATACAATTGAAATCAGAATTATTAGCCCTCCTGAATTATTAGCCTCGTTTTTTTTTTTTTTTTTTTGTCCCCAAATTTCTGTTTAACGGAGAGATTTTCTCAACACGTTTCTAAACAATAGTTTGTTCTGTAGACTATCAAATAAAAATATAGTTCAAAGGGGCTAATAATTTTGTCCTTAAAATGGTGTTTAAAAATTAAAAGCTGCTTTTATTTCAACTGAAAAAAACAAACAAATAAGACTTTCTCCTGAAGAAAAAATATCATCAGACATACTTTGAAAATGTCCTTGCTCGTTTTAACTTAATTTGGGAAATCTAAAAAAATTCAAAGGGAGGCTAATAATTCTGACTTCAACTGTATACATAGTGTCAATTTTATTTTTATATCTGGCAACCACTGTTTTATACATTTTTATTACTTAAAAGATAAATATAAGCATAATTTAACATATCTATTATTATAATTATATATTTTTCAAGCAAAGGTCAGAATAAGTGTTTTACATAATTTTTTCTCTTAGGCTGGATAACGATGGAACATTATTTCACTTGTATTTTTGACTTTTTAATTCACACAAGTTTATTAATTTTTTCTTATTAACACTTCATAAAATACAAATACTAAGTTGTGACATTTTGCCTTTGAAATGTTTTGTCATTAACACATTATTATTAACAAAATGATTTATTATCTTTATTATTAATATAGTGAATATTTAAAAATAATATTAATAAATAAATATTTTAGTAAACAATTAAATCAACCATTACTCATTTATGCAATTCATCATCTATTTATTTGTCTGTTTTATTGTTATAATTTTTTTTAACTTTTTTTTTAAAATTTAATTATTTTTTACCCTTTCTTACTGCTATAGAATATTATGATTATGTGGTTTCAATGGAATATTTGTTTCCATTTAAAGGATTTAAATGTCTCTGGACAATGTTGTGAAGCTGTAATCTTACTATATTTATGGTCATTGTCTGAGCAATGAAACATACAAAACTAATATTAATATTATTTTTATCATTATCATCATTACTCTACTCTTTTTCTGACTTTTCTCTGTCAACATATTTACTAGTTTGTCTTCTATAGATTTGCTGAATTTTGGTATTAGAGAACGCTAAGTGCTGGTTCTTTAAATACCAAACAAAGCAGATTCAATTATTTCTGAAAGTGACAATATGTTCATGCATTTTAAAAAAGCATGTTTTTATTAACTATAGATAAAAATGGACCACAAGATAGCCGACGTGTACTGTACTGTAGAGGGCAGTGCAATGCCAGCTCCACATTTATGTTTTCATTACTCCCTAATCTACTGTATATGTCATTTCTTCAGGTGCAAAGAACAGCTGCTGATGGTGTTCATCCTATGAATGTTTTGTTGTGATAAATGGGCATAGTTCACAGAATGGCTGAACTCAATCACTGGATTAGAATCAGAATCTGCGCTGTCACTTTATCTCTGTTTCTTATTCATACACAAGGTTGGTCACTGAAGAATTCAAAAAGACAAAGTTTGCATTATTGTAACAGCTAGTCGAAAGCTGAACAATGCTGCTTTTTTTCAGTTCCAAGACAAGGCCAGTCGATGCAAACCGAGAAACGAGAGCTCCTGGTGTCCACAGGTAACCAATCAGAGAAAACTAATCATCAACCAAACACACACCGTGCTAAAAGTGATTAGTTGGCTTTACATTGAACTTTGTTAAACTCGTCTGAAAATAATTAAGTAAATGAACTTAACAGTTACAAGTTACACTGTCAAAAATGCAGGGTTCCACATAATTCCTTAATGTAGTCCCAACACAAATTGATTAAGTTGATTGCTTTTACAAATTTTAGTACATTAAACAAAAAAGAAAATTTGGTCAATAGTGTTGGGGATACTTCAAAAAAAGTCAATAATTAATAATTACATCACTAAAATTTAATTACTTTAAATTACTTTGTAATTACTGTGACTGAACTGAATTGCAGTTCAGTTTCACAAGCTAATCTTGAGAGGAGCATGTGATATGATTGATCGTGGCTGGTCTCTCATCTGTAATCATTAGTATATGGATTATTCCAAACTCACTAAAAATAGCATTACTCCCTTAACTTTGTTTTTTTTTTAACCCCATTCACCCCATCTCCCGCTTTCTTCCTTTACCGGGGGAGTTCTCGAGAACTACCTGATCTCGTACCCCCTTACATGCTCGTTGACCAGGCGGGATTAATTATCTATGGGCTTAATTATCTCTGAGCTCAGGGTTCTCTCCCGGGACAGCATACCAAACCTGCTAATATATCAAGCAATATGGAACTGTGAACTCTTGAAATTTTAAATGTATAAGTTAAAATTTTCAATGAATAAAATTTTTCATTTTTTTTATAATAATTTTTTGGGGGAGGTTTACCTTTACTGGATAGGACAGTAGAGATTGTTGACAGTAAAGCAAGGGGAGCATAGAGAAGGGAGGGATCGGCAAAGGACCACAAGGTGGGAATTGAACTCGGGTCGCTATGAGCACCAAAGTGCATGTGTCAACGCACTAACCACTACACCACTGGCGCTGACAAAAAAAAAAAAAGTTAAATTTAATGACACCAAATTTCAAATAGACCATACATAAAATTCTAAAACATTTAATTGTTTCTAAGTTATGCACAAATCTAACCTTCTTTAGTTGAAAAAGTGTGTTATTCTGCTAAATATCTGAATAACAAAACAAAACAAAACAAAAAAAGGACACAATTACTCTGCTTCTCTGAATTTACACCTACTTTGGACTCATTTCTTAATTCACTTTTTTCTTAAGCATATGCAGCATGATAAACATAGGCATATGTCTTGATACATGCAATCTTGTTTCTGCAAAATATACAAAAATAACAACAATTACTCTGCTTTTTTAAATTGATTTATACAGAACTGTTCAATCTATAGTATTTAAGTCAAGTATATTATAAGTATCTAAGTACACTGTAAAAAATGCAGGGTTCCACACAATTGATTTGTGTTGGGACAACATGAAGGAATTCACTTATTAGGTTTAACAAATTTAAGTGGATTGAACATAAAACAAAATGAACAAAAAAGTTGTCCCTTAAAAAACCTCAAGAATTATGTTGTTTCAACTGATTTTAAATAAGTAGTTTGAACAAGCAGCAAACATTTTTGAAAGTTAATTACCTAAAAATAAAAGTAATCCCAATTGATTTGTTCAGCAGAAATGTAATAACTGTAACTAATTACTTTGAAACTAAGTGTAGTTTCACAAACTAATTTCAAGAGGAGCACATGATATCCTCCTGAGACCCGGCCCATTGACTTGTGTCGGACATTGCGTTTTCATGAATTTTCTTTGAATTTTTTGAGCTATCCTGTCAAGTCCTGTTGAGAGGACATCCTAGGCTTTCTAGTGATATGTCAGTTGATTGGCTAGCATGCTAGAAACCACTTCTTACACTGCATCCAAAATGGCCCCGACATACAAAAAAGCACATTTTATGGGAAGGAGAGAGGCATGTAAAATTTAGCTTTTTAAATGTTTTTTTTACTCTTATTATTACATATATATTTGTTTATTGAAGTGTCAGGAACAAAACATTTAGCTTCCAAAGCTTTTAACTCATTTGTGTTTCAAAATAGCATCCTTTTTTTAAATGTTCACTATAGTGGACACCAGGACCATCTTAATGTAATTAATGACTACTAGTTGTAGAGGGCACAACTGAAGCAGTGAGGATTCTTTATAAGATATTTAAGGGAGACTCTGATTTAGAGTCTGACTATCAGATAATTAGAGAATTAGAGACAATTAGAGAATGACAATCCGTTTTAAATCGCTTTTATGTTACATTTGTTTTGGATTAACATTAATTCTTTTTTTTTTTTTTTTTTTTTTTGGCTTTCCTTTAGACTAAAACGGTTTTAGGAATTTCAATACAAAAAAAAATGGCTTTTGTTTTGATTTTGTTACAGAAATACTGCATTTATATCCCTTTACAGCCATATCCTGTAGTTTTGTTGTCTGAGTGGCAGTCGTTTGGAACTAAAATGGTCCTGTGGTCCACTACAGTGGACATGCTTTAAAATTAAAAATAAAAACAAAATGTAAAAACTCAAAATTGTAGATTTTTTTTAACCCAAAGGATGTAGGAAATCACTGAAAAATTTCTTTATTTGGGTCTCAGGAGAATATGATAAAACGCAGCTGGTCTCTCATCTACAATCATTAGTTAGCCAATCAGATTAATCCAAACTCACTATAAGTAGCCTAGCAAAAAAATTACTCCCTTATCTTCATTTTCCGAAGAAACCCCCCATCCACCTCTTCTCCCCCTTTCTTCCTTTACCACGGGGAGCTCTCGAGAACTACCTGATCTCATACTCCCCTTACTTGCTCAATCGACCAGGCGGGAGCCCTGGGCTAAATTATCTCTGAGCTCAGGGTTCTCTCCCAGGACAGTATGCCAAACCTGCTAACATTTATCAAACAATTGTGAACTTTTGAGGCCAGCACTGAATGTCACTTCAAGAGTTCACACTTAGCTGAGGATTGATTATAAGCAAGTTTGGCATGCTGTCCCGGGAGAGAGCCCTGGGCTCCCTTCCGTTTGCAGGGCGAGAGGGGAGCCTTGAGCTCAGGTTGATCTCAACAACTCCCCCCTTGATAAGAGCTGATGATGACTAAAATGAATGCTATGAAGAGGTATGCTGCACGATGAGAGATTGACTGTAGTGCTAAATTTAGATTGATCAATTCACTTGTTGTGCATGTTTTTGGAATGTGGGAGGAAACCGGACGACCCGGGGAAAACCCAAGCGAGCACGGGAAGAACATGCAAACTATGCACAGAAACGACCGCTGGCCAGTTAAATGACTAGAACCGGTGATGTTCTTGCTGTGAGGCAACAGTGCTAACCACTGGGCCACCGTGCCACCCTATGGAGGGAAAGGTGAAGAGGTAGGGGTGGAAGGGGGGATTCTTCAAATCGAAGATGACTGTAGTGAAAAACCCTGGCTCTTTATAGTGGGTTAGGAATGGCCTGGTTAGTGGATCATACATGCTAATGCAACCATAATCATGTGATTCTCTCGAAATTAGTTTATGAATAACCTTCACTAATTGATTTTAAGTGTGTGGGATGTTTTTACGAATCACTTCATGTATTTGAAAGGCTTTTAGATCCTCAGACGTTTAGTCCTAATGATCAGGTGAATGTGAAATGAAGAAACCGATTGTAGTGATGAGGTTTACTGTATCTCTACAGACTCAGCCTCTGTGTATGTGATTTAGGAATGTTTTACAGGGATGTAAAGAATGGTTTTGCAGATCGATAGCTGGAATGTATAGATGAGTGTAATCTTCAATTTACCCAGAGATCCCAGCAGAGCACATCGACCCTGCTTCCATAGATCTTACTGGACTCGTCAACACACTCATCAACGCTTCACAACCAGGTATTACACACACTCACACACTTGTACAGATATCTTTACAGGGACTTTCCATAGACGTAATGATATATTTTTTTTAAAGCTGTAAATAATATGCCCCTTCTCCAACACTCACAGGAAACAATCTGCATATTTACAGCTTAAAAAGACTTAATTGATTTATGAACCGTTTTCCTCATGGGGAACAAAATAATTCAGTTAATGGTAATACAATAATTATAATTCAGTTCAGTTCAGTTCAGTTTAGCTCAGTTCAGTGTAGTTCAATATTCAATACTGAGAGTCCAAACACTGACAAGCAAATCTATCGATGCCGCATGCGCATCTCTACGGGTCCCAAACCATGCAAGCCAGTGGCGACAGCGGCGAGGAAAAAACTTCAACAATTGGCGAAGGTGAAGAATTAAAAAACCTTAAGAGAAACCACGCTCAGCTGGGCACGACTACTTCTGCTATGGAAAAACGTCTTGTGCAGAGCTGCAGTCTAGGCACTGAAGGCTGAAGAACACTGGACGTCAGCGAGGACTCGTCTGTCCCTGTAGCATCACAGGAATCAGTCACATGCTCTCCACTCCTACATGACCTTCCAGCCACTTTGGCTGTTTGAAAACCATTTTAAAGTTGTAGTTTTTTAAAAGCAAGGTTCGACAATAAAAACGACCCAAACACAATTGATGGGATCGGTTCTCCTTTAAATAGACTGGACAAAAAGTTGTGCAACCACAGTCTTGCTGCTTTCAAGAGCTCCAGATTTGTTTTATTGTAAGCAGCACCGTTTGCTTTCGCTTTGACCGTTCTTTGAACAGATTATTAATTGGCCGACGGGTTAACCATCCTTTCATTGTCACAGTATGTTTTTCACTTGGTTTCTCTAGCTTACAGTTATTTTTGTTAATATGGTTTAATTATCATTTTTTACAATAACATTGCTTTAATGGGATTAACTCCCCATTTATGTATAGTTAACTAGTGATCTGGAACCTTTAGCCAGGACCGGTTACTGTGCATACTTTAGATACATGATAATAATTATTTTTTAAAGGTCAATTAATTAATTTTTTTATTTTTAAAAGATTGTTAAAAAAAAGTATAGTGTACGACACACACAAAAAGTGAAATGAATGAGGAGGCAAGTGGACATAACCCAAAATCTTAATCAAGTCATTTTAGCTTGTCAAAGTCAAATTTATGCATGTAAAATTTATTTTCCAACAATAAAATTGTGGCTAAGGAAAATGCAGAGAGGCTGGTGATAAAAAAAAAAGTTAATGTCAAGCCCTTATTATAGAAAATACTGTGAAAATTTCCTTTCTCTGTTAAACATCATTTGAAAAATATTTGAAAAAAGATAAAAATAATCACAGGAGGGCTAATAATTCTGACTTCAACTGTATATATATATTTTTTACGTGTGTGTTTCAGGTTCCCAGCATCTTTTCTCGTTACTCAGTGTGACGTCTCACAGTTCCCTCTCTCTCCAAAAGCTCACGCTTCTGGTCTACAACAGTAACTATGCTCATCCACACAGCCAAATCACATCGTAACTACAGCAACAATATAGCACAAATATGATGTAATTCTGTGTGTGTTTGTATGTGTGTATCTGTGCGTCATGTACACATGTTTGGCTGTGTAGTCTCAAACGTACAGGAGATTGAGAGCAGTTTATTTTCATTGAGATACTGTTACTGTCTGACAAACAGGACCAATGACCTAACAGGTGAAATACCTCATTTTATACTTTTTGATTCAAATGATTGTCTGTCTGCCTGCCTGCCTGCCTTCCTATCTATCTATCTATCTATCTATCTATCTATCTATCTATCTATCTATCTATCTATCTATCTATCTGTCTGTCTGTCTGTCTGTCTGTCTGTCTGTCTGTCTGTCTGTCTGTCTGTCTGTCTGTCTGTCTGTCTGTCTGTCTGTCTGTCTGTCTGTCTGTCTGTCTGTCTATCTATCTATCTATCTATCTATCTATCTATCTATCTATGATCTATTAATAGCGGTGTACCTCAGGGCTCAGTATCAGGCCCTTTTCTGTTTCATATTTATATTTTGTCTTTCAGTTGTTTTAATGTATTTGTTTATTTATTTAAATATTATTCGAATAAATGTTCAGTATCAGTTGGCTCCAATGGCCTTGTGTTTAGTGAATCGACACATACATGTAGCACTACGATTTCTAGTCCTTTGGTTATCCTTTCCCCCTCTCTTTCTATGTTTCCAAAAAAAAATTGTTAATACTCTCCACTGTCCTGTCCTATCAAATGTGAACACCTCTAAATAATAATTCAATATCAAATTCTAATCCAGCATCGCTATGGTGTGTTGTAGATTTCACTGCTATTCTGCTGGATGTGATGGGAAATTCCACCAGTTACCTGCAAGAACTATTTAAATCCAGCTCCATCCTCTCAGGTACTCAGCAGTGTCATGTGAAACCTTAGCATTAATGTACTGTAATGGTCTACTGGTTACTCTTCATATATCATATCAGTGTCATGTTGTCTATGTGTTTGTGCTATTATAATTATTTCAGTCAGTCAGAAGAACAGCTCTGACTGCATCTATATCTGTGTCATGGCTGGAAAGACAGGTGAGTGACAGTATTCATTTATAAACTGCTTTTTTTTTTTTTAAATCGAATCCAATTTTTTTTTACTTCATTAAGTCGAAAATGACACAGTATAGATATGAACTCACTCAAGACAAGTTTTATTTTTAAATGAGGTCACTCTGCATGAATGTATTACAGTTTTTCTCAGTCGCTTTGGTACATTTTCCAAATCAGAATTGTAATTTGCACAACAGTGATTGCATTTCTCAAAACAAAACGTACACATAGCAAAACACCACAGATTACCTGCAAAACCCAGTCTCTTGCTCAAAATCATTAGCTCATCTCTCAAAACAAACTTTCTGTGTCAATGAACATGTCAGTATAGCGTCAAAATTAGAATTCATTGTCTCATTGTGTGTGGATAAGACAAATTTCTTAGGCATGTTGTCAATTTAACAGTGATCTCTGAAGGGCTGCTCTGATGTAATGATAGATTTTTTTGTGCTGTTTGTACTGTAATTTGTTGACAGATCATGTCATTGTGATACAAAAAGAAAAGACAGCACTGCATAGCACAAAGAAAAAATAACACAAAAGTAGAAATGTGAACACAGGACATGTGATCTCCTTTAAGATGCACCTTCATTAGAAAAAATCAAGATTCACATGTGAGAAATGTACCAATCGTAAGCTGATTTAGAAAAAAAAATTCTAATGGAAAGTATGCATTATGACAAAATATTCTGTCAACTTGTTCAGCTATTTTGCATGTAAAGACTTATGCCATGAACAAACAATTACAGTTTGTCACATTTCTCAGATCAGGATTGAAATTCTCTAAACTACTTGTCCAATCTTCAGATCAATGTGTCACTTGTGCTTATATAAAAAAACAGGTTCTCATTCATTTTAACAAGTTGCAATGGGTTACATCCCTGCAAATGATTATGTGCTCTGATGTTTCCTACATTATCAGTTTCATATGTCATGTTGATCAAAATTGATTACTTTGTTCTCTGTTGAATAGTCTCACCCCACACAGCATTTACATTTTTCTCAGTGGTTTTGGTGCATTTCTCCAATAGTATCTGGATGCAGCCTTTATGAAGCAAGCTGAGATTGCATCACTCAGCGATGCAATATCAGACACAATGCACTCAATGGAGTGAGTGACGTCACTGTGACAGGTAGGGTTAGGGGTGGGGTTACTCTAAGTGAGCGCACTAAAAAGCATTGGATGCAGCTCAGATTGCACTGCACCAAATCTGCATCCAGACCCCTCTCCATTTCTCACAAAACTATTTACATTTGCACAACATGCATTTCTCAACACAATGAGTCACTTGTGCACATCATAGTAGCAGTTTCTCTGTCCTTCCAACAAATTGCAAATGCTTTTGGACATGAATCAATTGCTCTCATACAACTCTCTGCTGTTTTATAACATTATAGTTTGCTTATGTCATGTCAGCCAAAATTAAGTAAATTTTTGAATGCTGAATAGTCATTCCATATAAAACGAATGGTCCTCATTTCCTTACTTGAGTCATTACATACACAAATGTTGAACTAGCTGTCAAAATCTGTCAAGCTAATTTTATAAAAATGGTTAAATCTTTTTTTTTTCTGAAAATGAAGAGAAAAAAAAAATAAGAAAATGAGAATGTCTTCTAAATTAAACAATTTCATGAATGATTTACAGACCTGTGTGTGTTGTAGGTTTAGTTCCAATATGTACTGCAATATTGTTTACAGTTGTGCACAGCTCTACCAGAAGGAAGTTTATGTGTGTTGTAAATAAGGGTGTGTTTATTCTTTTGCACAATGCTGTGAATAAATTAGAATTGCAAAGAGCAAATGCAGTAAAAATGTGTAACATACGTATTCAGTGTCTTGTACTCAGATACATCACTAAATACAGTGATGTTTAACTTTACTGTAGTATTCAAATGGCTGTGCAAATAGTATAAAGTGCTGTCTTGAGCACTTTGAGAAAGTGTCACTAAAATCAGACTTTTTTGCATTGGAAAAAATTAACAGAGTAAACTGTCATATTGAAAACATGACAAAGGCATCTGATTATTCTGTTCATAAACAATAATGTCAGGACTTTTCATCTTGATGACACTGACACTTTCATTGACATCAGCACTTGATTTTGAGGAATGAGCTCTTCATTTTGAGCAAGTGACACGCTTTTGCAGGTTATCAGCTAGGTATTCAGTTTGTACTAATTGTTTTGAGAAATCCATTAACTGTTGTGCAAATGCAAATAGTGTTGTGAGAAATGCACCAAAGCCACTGAGAAAAACTGTTACACATTTTGATTAGCATGACATAAGCAATTGATAATGTAGAAAACAGAAGGGAATTGCAAATAATCATATATATGGATTTGCAACTTGTGAAGATCGAACAGGTAGTTTTGAGAATTTCAATTCTGATCTAACAAATGGACCAAAGTGACTGAGAAAAACTGTAACTATGATTAGCAATGCTCTACACCAGTGGTTCTCAAACTGTGGTACTTGTACCACTAGTGGTACGCGGGCTGCCTTTTAGTGGTATGCAGAGTAATCCAATATGTCATATGTACATGCAACATATTTAAAAATGTATCAAAAATGGTTTATATATGAATATGATGACATATAGCCTTTATTTATGAGGTCCAAGCAATATTTCCAGGTTTTGATGAACATGATACTTTAGGTCAACACTTTACATTTAGGTACTGGAGATTTTTTTTACCTTTTAAGAACAGTAGCCTACTATTTTAATGATTTTTTAAAAGCACATTTCAATTTAAACGTTGACATTTTATTTTGATTGTTTTTTTGTTTGTTTGTTTTTTACATATAAGCACAGCAGTGTTAATGTTTAAACCATTTAAAAGGTTTAAAGTGGCTGCTGATAATAATAAATATTCTTAATCATAGTAATTAATCTTCCACATTTTTAAACTGTGCAGAGCTGTAGCTGCCTAATTAGGCCTATTACACTACTGTGTTTCAACACTGGTCATATGGGGGTCCTTGGAGTGACAATTTTTTTTGTGAGATGTTACTTGATGAAAAAAGTTTGAGAACCGCTGCTTTACACTATCTTTCATTTGAAAATAATTGATTAAAATAATCAAAATACGCTAATTACTGTGTATGCAATAAAAGCAGTAAGAAAAACAAGACAAACTAATATAAGGACCTGTGTTCAGACAGTGATCTGTCAAAGCTGTGGGAGATGGACTCTGTTACACCTCTGTTTAATCAGACCATCACAGAGGAAATCGCCAGAGGTATATATTTATTGCTCTAAAACTTTTCACTTTTGAAGAATAAGGCTGGTCAAATGTAATTTTCTCCTGATTTCTTTTAGGTAATATGACATTTCCACTCCTGCCCTTTGGTAAGTGGAAGTATTTATTAGTGTCTGTTTTTTCAGCTAAGACACTATAAGCTATCTTGTCATTTTTTTATGAAATTGTGTATAAATGTATCGTGAGAATGAGAGTATACCAATCAGATTCCTACTTTACTAGTGTGGCATGACCTTTCAAACAACAGTGATTTGGTGCAATGGCCTAAAACTAGTACAGACTCCCACAGGACTGCCAGTACAGATGCCCACAGGAGCACAGGTATCTTAACTACAAGTTTTAGGCTTATCTGAACATTTCTACTATTCATATTGATTTATAGTACTGATCCTTTCTAACTGATCTGACTGACACAATATTTCAGCTTTCAATGTTCAAATTATTCGATTTCATGGACTACTTTCAAACAGTAAATCGCAACATTGACTGGTAGGCTACACAAAGAGTGGAATAAAAACATATCTTAACTAATGTAGAAGAATCCACCTCTTTGTAGAGATAAACATCAGAGGAAGTGTCAAAGTAAGAGAACTCCAAACATTTTTTGTGAACTTTTTTTCTGTATTGAAGCAGGAACAGAGCTTTGATTAAGTGGCCTTGATCTGGTTCATGCTAATTCATGCTAGGAAAATGCTAACAGCATACTAATGCTTAGTAGCAACATGCTATTTATGGCAAAAACATGATAGCATGTTAAGAAAGTGTATGCACACATTCAAGAAACTTGTATTGTTGGTCTGACAGAGACCTTTCGTTCATAACATTGTGTTTTTAATAAATTGTTCTCTGTCAGTGGGCTAATTTTTTTATTGTCAAAAACACAATTCCAACATGCTAATTCATGCTAAAAATAAGCTAATTTTTTATTTTTTTTATTACAAAAATGTGCATGGATAAATTGTTTTGTAAAAGTCATTTAAATACATGGTTAATTAAGTTTGAAAGCCAAAAAGGTTCAAATTGCTTGTTTTTTTTTTTTTTATTATTTTACAGTATCAACTAGCAACTTACCATTGACAACCACTGATGCAACAATGACATCATCAACCCCTATAGCAGCTCTTCCAACTAGTGCCATTGTAACAACCACTACAACGACTCCTATGCCAACCACACCCACTAGTGATCTTACAACAGCTGGGACGAGCCAACCAACACCCGATTTTATAACATCAACAAAGTCCAGACCCAGGACTGAAGCCACTGTAACCACACACACCATCACTTCCAGGGTGACCATGACATTTCCACAGCCAACTTTGAGAAGAACGACGACAAGCATCCAGCAGCTCACTAAAGCATCCCATACTGAAAAACCAGGCAAGACTCACTATCATCATCAACATACACAAACACAAACACACACACTCACAAACTAGGGATGAGGCCTTAATATAAAAGGTGGACACAAATAAAGCAAATAATAAAACAATGTGATAAACGAAACAAATATTAAGATGCTCTTACTATTTTCTGTTATGTATAATGAAAGTTTTAGGGGGAAAGCAGGTTGGAATTATTTTGAACTATACATGTAAATATTTACAGTAAATAAGCTTCAGTTTGTTAACATTAGTTAAGAACATTAGTGAACAACATGAACTAATTATTCAATATTCTGAAGCATTGATTTATAATAGTTGCAGTATCTTTGAAGTAGTGTTTTTATTAATTGATGTAATAAAGAAAAAAAACTTGAAGATAAAAATAGACCCATTTAAAAAGAAAACTATTGGAGTTATATGAGACTTTGTGGCTTTCCACTTTTAATTTAATGAGTTTTGTGGGTATACAAAGTATACAATGTACAATTTGTCACACATAAGAATTAATGGGAAATGGCACATTTTAGAAAATGTTCAAATAAGTAAACAGTATATCCGAATGCTAAGTTTGTTTATGTAGGGGAGAGCGGAAACGAAAGCAACGTGGGACGGAAGTAACAAATCCATTTTCTCAAAGCCCTGACCACATTTTCTTTTCAGACTCTGACAGCACATTCAGCATGATAGAGTTGCCAAATATAACCTGATTTCTTGACTGAGTCTCGCAGTTAGCTCCAAATTTCTGTTTTGAAGAGCAAAAAGTAAATTATTGTAAGTATTGTAGCGGTTCTTTTTTCCTTATTGCAAGTTGCGTTTCTCTTTTCCTGCAACACACTAATGATTTATCTATAGGGTATTTAGTGCAATAACACATCCTTAACTTTGCAGTGTCTAAGGTTTTCCATATAAATGTAAATCAGATTTAAATGGAAAGAGTTGATGAAAGTAACACTGTCATTTATACACCCCACTGCTAATAGCATACCTTATTTTCACTTCCACATTAGAGTTTGCTGTGCTTTGATTCAGATGTTTTATAAAAAAAAAAAATATGCATAGTGCCAATATTAATAAAGTATTCAAAATGTTTCAAAATATTCAAAATGTAAAAATGTAAAAAAAATAAAAAAAAAAGTGACATTTTGTGTTGTTGGGTTGCTTTTGAAACGTTAAATTGAACTGAAATTTAATATGAAAATGCAGTTTAATTTTTTTTTTTTTTGCAAAAATAAAGGACAAAAATGTTTGCAGTGAATATTATCAAGGTCATAGTGAGATATATTTAAAATAAACCAAATGAAGCCAATACGTTTAGTTAATCATTTGTTTAAAGTGAAGTTAAATTGCAGTTGTTCAACATTGATACAAAATAACAGCTGATTTTGATAGACCACTGTTGTGAGTTAGTAACCACAGCAAAAAAATAGTTCTGCTAAATACATTATCTTTTAAAATTTATGAAAAATGTTATTTTCTTCCCTGCTCTCCCCTATAGAATCTGCCTTTAGTTCCACAGGGCCCTCTAGTGGCAAAAAACAAACAATGCAGGTTTTTGTGATTTTTACATTACAGACACTACAGAGACCCAAATGCCTTCATTCTTGGGAACAAAAATGACAACCTTTTAGATAAAATCCGAGAGCTCTCTGACCCTCCATAGACAGCAATAGTTCCGAAATTCCACCTTGTGTAAAATGGACATCTGATGTCACTTTTAAACAATATATCCAGAAAGGAATGTGAAAAGAAAACAATCTGATGTATCAAAACAGAGATATTAAAAAGGTTTACTAAATATATTAAGCTTCAACATGGTAAGAACAATATGCACTGTTATTATTGTTGTTTAAATAATTGTTTTTGTGTTTTTTGTTTTGTTTTATTAATTACAAGAAACTGTATTATACAACTTAGAATACTGTAAAAGATGATAGTTATTTTACACAATAATTACATTAGAAACACAAGATAAAGAGGAAAACCTAAAAAAGCATAAAAAGTTAAGAGAAATAATGCAATAAATAATAAATAAATAAATTTTAAATATTCAAGTAACATGAAAGATCTCAACATATCTGCTCAAGAAAGAAGCACATTTCTTATTTTCAGTTAATCTAAGTGATTTAATTAAATGTTCTATTTCACATAGGAAGTCTATAAAGATTGGACTTTTTTTAAAGAACCTCTGTTTCTGAGAATAAAATTTCCCAGCAGGTATAAGAAAGTTTACAGTGGCTTCTAACGACTTCTTTTGGTTTTCAAAATAACAAATAATGTCCTTAAGGTGCAAATAACCACCCATATAACCCTTGGAAAACCAATATGAACTTAAATCATCCCAAAACAATGATGATATATCGCATGAAAAAAACAAGTGACAAATATCTTCACTCATTCCTACAAAATGTGCAAATATCATATAACATCGCAAAATTTGGATAAGAGTGCATTACATGGGTAAATATTGTCGGGTCGGGTGGTTTGGAAGACCCACCCCTTACTTACAAAGATCCAGAATTTGTCCCATACATGAGCTTATATGTCTTATTTTGATCATCATAGTGAAAATGACCCATCGAAAAGGCCTTAAGACTAAGCAGAATCCTCAGTTAGCTGTCGCTTCGGAGTCACTTCAGCTAATCAGTTTTGGCCAATGCAAACAATTATTTTACATGACTCCAACATCCAGCTGTGCAGGAAAACATAAAATCTGATGTATGAGAAGTCATATTTTGCTACTGTATTGTTTTTAAATGAAGAAACCATTTTTTAAGAAACTTTATTGTAAATCTTGGCTCTTATTCAAACAAAAAAATGACCAATAAAAAGGTGTGAAGCACCAAAAGTGCCCATATTAAAGTTTATTTGAATACTATTTTGGCTAAAATATAAAAAAAAGTGTGGTTATGATTGCCATTTGACAATCTAATTCAGAACAGTGCTTAAAATGTCACTAAGATACAAGATTTAAATTTTATAATTTAATAGAAAATGAGGCGTATAATTGCAAGAAGGTCCATTCTTTGAGGAAAAAAGAACCACCCCTTTCACCAGGCTGGCTTTGGGTCTGTAAACTGTGCTATGTAGAATAAAAAGAAATGAGCCAATTACTCAGAAAAGATAGCTATTGTTTAAGAGTAAAAAAAATGAAATGAACTGTGTGAAATCTGCCTTTGTAAGCATGTGTTACACAACTAACCCCCTGTCTGTTACAACATGCCCCGCAGGTGGGGTAAATAATAGCATTTTTACTCCTGGCACTTTTGGCAATACAGGAACCATAAGTCCGGTGATCATATTTTCAGTGCTCATTTGTAGGAGAGGCTTGTGTGTTATTGGTAAAAAAATAAATAAAATGTGGTTTGTCTAACCCCATTACTTTGTTCATTATTTGACCAATACCAAAAGGTGTTACTTTGTTCCCTGCTGTCCCCTATGTAAATGGGATACTTGAGGTATGAACTTATTATTGAAGTCTTTACTAAAAATAGATTTTCCTCCAAAGCTGTGACAATTGTTTGGAACGTGCTTTCTAACTAGACCTGCTTTCATCAGACATAGTAATCTGTATAGCCTTAATTGACTTAAATTCCATATAACGGACATGGAATTGATTAATATTTATAAAACTCTCGTAAGTTAAAAGATCCCCGTTGCTATTAAAAAGATCAGAAACAAAAATTATGTTCCGTTGTTTAAATAAAGATATCTATTCAAATGACTAGCTGACGCGCACACGCTGGAATGTGACATCGTGACCTTTTCTTCTGTTCAAGCGGCTGCGGCGGCACAGCGGTGCCCGGGCAGGGTTAATTATGGTGGCTTGAAAAGCCAACATACTGTTATCTCACGTAAACTTATTATTATGGTGGCTTGAAAAGCCAACATACTGTTATCTCACTTAAACTTATTATTATTCTGCTTCTTCTTCTTCTTCTTCTTTCTTCTGAGACTAATTTTAAAGTCTATCTCCTCCTAACCCTTTCAAGCTTCATACCTCAAACTTTCGTCAAACCTTCAAACTGGTCTGACTCGGGTTGCTATATCTTTTCCGACTGATCCGACTTTCGGTTTTCCGAAAAACGACCCGGAAAATTCCCAAAATTCCCATTGACTTAACATTGGGTCAAACTTTGTCACCTCATAACTCTGCATCAGACTGTCCTACAGACTTCTAACTGGGCTCATTTAACTCAGTCTAGCCAGCAGCCAATAACTGATGACCTTTAAACTTACTAGCCACTCCCTAGCAACGACTTTTGGCACCCTAGCAACTGTCCCATAGACTTCCATTGTAAAAGACTGCCATTGACTTAACATTGAGTCAACCTTTGTGAGCTCATAACTCTGCATCAGACTGTCCTACAGACTAGAGTCAGGCCTCATTCAACTCAGTCTAGTCAGTAGCCAATCACTGATGGCCTTTAGACTTACTAGCCACTCCCTAGCAACCACTTATGGCACCCTAGCAACTGTCCCGTAGACTTCCATTCAAAAGACTGTCATTGACTTAACATGGGATCAAACTTTGTGAGCTCATAACTCTGAATCAGACTGTCATACAGACTAATGGCTGAGCTCATTTAACTCAGACTACCAAACTGCCAATAAATGATTAGCTTTTAACTTTCTAGCCACACCCCTAACTACCACATACTGCACCCTAGCAACTGTCCTGTAGACTTCCATTACAAAAGACTCTCATTGACTTAACATGGGATCAAACTTTGTGAGCTCATAACTCTGCATCAGACTGTCATACAGACTAATGGCTGAGCTCATTTAACTCAGACTACCAAACTGCCAATAACTGATGAGCTTTTAACTTTCTAGCCACACCCCTAACTACCACATACTGCACCCTAGCAACTGTCCCGTAGACTTCCATTAAAATAGGCCAAGATGCATATCTTTGCAAAGCAGTGTCATAGAGACATGGGGGTTGGTTCTTTGACTAAGACAACCAACCACATTCAAGTTCACTCTGTAACCTCG